ATCAGCATCAACAGCATCATCATCCGTGGTCTATCCGTTGTTGTAAGCAGATCAATGTGATGTCCACTATCAGCATCAACAGCATCATCATCCGTGGTCTATCCGTTGTTGTAAGCAGATCAATGTGATGTCCACTATCAGCATCACATCATCATCATCCGTGGTCTATCCGTTGTTGTAAGCAGATCAATGAGATGTCCACTATCAGCATTAACAGCATCAACAGCATCATCATCCGTGGTCTAATCCGTTGTTGTAAGCAGATCAATGTGATGTCCACTATCAGCATCAACAGCATCATCATCCGTGGTCTATCCGTTGTTGTAAGCAGATCAATGTGATGTCCACTATCAGCATCAACAGCATCATCATCCGTGGTCTATCCGTTGTTGTAAGCAGATCATGTGATGTCCACTATCAGCATCAACAGCATCATCATCCGTGGTCTATCCGTTGTTGTAAGCAGATCAATGTGATGTCCACTATCAGCATCAACATCATCATCATCCGTGGTCTATCCGTCGTTGTAAGCAGATCAATGAGATGTCCACTATCAGCATTAACAGCATCAACAGCATCATCATCATCATCATCATCCGTGGTCTATCCCTTGTTGTAAGCAGATCAATGAGATGGATACCATCGCCATCAATAATAATAAGACATTTCAGCAGAGGGCTTAGGGCATTTCATAGGACCTAAAGCTCTGCTCATTGACCTGACCAAGGCCCACAACATCATCAAGAGGCCTGTGATTTGTGATAATCTTTGTGCTTTCGTGGCCCCTGACGCTCTGCTCACGAGCATGGAGGACCTTGACGGCGACGAGAGACAGGCCCTGAGACGTCTGCGTGGCTCGAGGTGTCAGCCCGTTGCTCGTCACCACAGCCAAGCCAAGTCGCACAATGCCGCTCGGCTTGAACCGGCACCTCCCGTTGATTAAAGCGTCCGATTAGCACAGTTGGCTACGTACGGTGCGAACGAAGTTCAACATTCACACACATTGTCTGCAATTCACCCCAGCTGGGATCACACAGCAGCAGCAGCCACATGGCAGATGTCGTCAAGGAGGATTTAAAAACCCATCACCACGCAAACTCCTCCGTCATCTTTGCAGCAGCAGCAGGTCTTGGCTGCCCATCGGAACCAAGGCGCACTTTACAATCATCATCATCATCGCGATTGACAACTCATTTCTGTATAATCATCACGGCTGGCCGAGTACGGTGCGAAAGACTTCAACGGACCACACACAGTCGCGAAATCCTGACGTTAACTCCCTCGCCTGGTGGCTAGGAGATGTTAACTCGCTCGCCTGGTACACAGGAGATGTTAACCTCCCTCGCCTGGTAACAGGAGATGTTAACTACCCTCGCCTGGTACACAGGAGATGTTAACTACCTCGCCTGGTCTACAGGAATGTTAACTACCTCGCCTGGTACACAGGAGATGTTGACATCCCTCGCCTGGTACACAGGAGATGTTAACTACCTCGCCTGGTACACAGGAGATGTTAACTACCTCGCCTGTACACAGGAGATGTTAACTACCTCGCCTGGTACACAGGAGATGTTAACTACCTCGCCTGGTACACAGGAGATGTTAACTACCTCGCCTGGTACACAGGAGATGTTAACTACCCTCGCCTGGTACACAGGAGATGTTAACTACCTCGCCTGGTACACAGGAGAATGTTAACTACCTCGCCTGGTACACAGGAGATGTTAACTACCTCGCCTGGTACACAGGAGATGTTAACTACCTCGCCTGGTCTACAGGAGATGTTAACTCCCTCGCCTGGTACACAGGAGATGTTAACTCCCTCGCCTGGTACACAGGAGATGTTAACTCCCCTCGCCTGGTCTACAGGAGATGTTACTACCTCGCCTGGTACACAGGAGATGTTAACTACCTCGCCTGGTACACAGGAGATGTTAACTACCTCGCCTGGCACACAGGAGATTTAACTCCCTCGCCTGGTACACAGGAGATGTTACATGCCGCTCGCCTGGTACACAGGAGATGTTAACTACCTCGCCTGGTACACAGGAGATGTTAACTACCTCGCCTGGTCTACAGGAGATGTTAACTCCCTCGCCTGGTACACAGGAGAATGTTAACTACCTCGCCTGGCACACAGGAGATGTTAACTCCCTCGCCTGGTACACAGGAGATGTTAACTCCCTCGCCTGGTACACAGGAGAAATGTTAACTACCTCGCCTGGTACAACAGGAGATGTTAACTACCTCGCCTTGCACACAGGAGATGTTAACTCCCTCCGCCTGGTACACAGGAGATGTTAACTCCCTCGCCTGGCACACAGGAGATGTTAACTCCCTCGCCTGGCACACAGGAGATGTTAACTCCCTCGCCTGGTACACAGGAGATGTTAACTCCCTCGCCTGGTACACAGGAGATGTTAACTACCTCGCATGGCACACAGGAGATGTTAACTCCCTCGCTTGGTACACAGGAGATGTTAACTCCCTCGCCTGGTACACAGGAGATGTTAACTACCTCGCATGGCACACAGGAGATGTTAACTCCCTCGCCTGGTACACAGGAGATGTGAACTACCTCGCCTGGCACACAGGAGATGTTAACTCCCTCGCCTGGTACACAGGAGATGTTACTACCTCGCCTGGCACACAGGAGGATGTTAACTAGCCCTCGCCTGGTACACAGGAGATGTTAACTCCCTCGCCTGGTACACAGGAGATGTTACACTCCCTCGCCTGGTACACAGGAGATGTTAACTACCTCGCATGGCACACAGGAGATGTTAACTCCCTCGCCTGGTACACAGGAGATGTGAACTACCTCGCCTGGCACACAGGAGATGTTAACTCCCTCGCCTGGTACACAGGAGATGTTAACTACCTCGCCTGGCACACAGGAGATGTTAACTCCCTCGCCTGGTACACAGGAGATGTTAACTCCCTCGGCCTGGTACACCAGGAGAATGTTAACTCCCTCGCCTGGCACACAGGAGATGTTAACTACCTCGCCTGGTACACAGGAGATGCTAACTCCCTCGCCTGGCACACAGGAGATGTTAACTCCCTCGCCTGGTACACAGGAGAATGTTAACTCCCTCGCCTGGCACACAGGAGATGTTAACTACCTCGCCTGGCACACAGGAGATGTTAACTCCCTCGCCTGGCACACAGGAGATGTTAACTCCCTCGCCTGGTACACAGGAGATGTTAACTCCCTCGCCTGGTACACAGGAGATGTTAACTCCCTCGCCTGGCACACAGGAGATGTTAACTCCCTCGCCTGGTACACAGGAGATGTTAACTCCCTCGCCTGGTACACAGGAGATGTTAACTACCCTCGCATGGCACACAGGAGATGTTAACTCCCTCGCCTGGTACACAGGAGATGTTAACTCCCTCGCCTGGTGGCTAGGAGATGTTAACTACCTCGCCTGGTGTACAGGAGATGTTAACTACCTCGCCTGGTACACAGGAGATGTTGACTCCCTCGCCTGGTACACAGGAGATGTTAACTCCCTCGCCTGGTGGCTAGGAGATGTTAAGTTCCTCGCCTGGTGCACATGAGGTCGTGGGTTCGATCCCGACCCTGACGCCTGCTGCTGCTGCTGCTGTGCATGTGGAGTTTGCGTGCCTCTCTCTCTCCCCGTGGTCGATATCAGCACCACACGTCCACAGGATTCGGCTGACATTCATTCCCACACGACACGCAACTTCCTTGAGCTATCATTTGTAATGGGCCGGTCACTTATATAAATCAGCTACATAGCTCAGTGGGCCTTACCTGCTAGTTTCTATTGTTTTCAATAGGCAATAGACAATAGTACTTGGTAAAGAGGTGATGAGACTCGGTGAGGCTTTGCTGGCTAAACGGGAGTCGTAATACTACAGACGGCGACAGGGTGAGTGTTGGAGTTGGGGGTAGAGTTGTTACACCCAGAACACGATGCACACAGCACACAGTACACACACAACACACAGTACACACACATTACACACACAATACACACAGTACACACACAACACACATTACACACACATTACACACAGTACACACACATTACACACACAATACACACAGTACACACACAACACACAGTACACACACATTACACACACAATACACACAGTACACACAGTACACACACAACACACAGTACACACATTACACACACAATACACACAGTACACACACACTACACAGTACACACACACTACACAGTACACACACAACACAGTACACACACAGTACACACAATACACACAGCACACACACAGTACACACAGTACACACACTACACACAGTACACACAGTACACAGTACACACAGTACACACACAACACACAGGACACAGTACACACACAACACACAGTACACACACAACACAGTACACACACAGTACACACAATACACACAGCACACACACAACACACAGGACACAGTACACACACAACACACAGTACACACACAGTACACACACAACACACAGTACAGTACACACACAGTACAGGACACAACACACATCCATGAGCCCCGCGATGTTGACTGAGTGAGGCCCGCCACGCGCCCCCACCTGCCCAGTCCCCTCCCCCCGTCACCCCCCCCCATCACCACCACCACCACCCCCATCACCACCACCCCCCCCATCACCACCACCACCCCCATCACCACCACCCCCCCATCACCACCACCCCCCCCATCACCACCACCCCCCCATCACCACCACCACCCCCATCACCACCACCCACCCCCCCATCACCACCACCCCCCCCATCACACCACCCCCCCCATCACCACCACCACCCCCATCCCACCACCCCCCCCATCACCACCACCCCCCCCATCACCACCACCCCCCCATCACCACCACCACCCCATCACAACCCCCCCCCATCACCACCACCACCCCCATCACCACCACCCCCCCCAGCACCACCACCCCCCCATCACACCACCACCCGCCATCACCACCACCCCCCCATCACCACCACCCCCCCATCACCACCACCCCCCCCATCACCACACCACCCCATCACCACCACCCCCCCCATCACCACCAACCACCCCCATCACCACCACCTCTTACCACCTCAACCACCCCCATCACCACCACCTCTTACCACCTCAACCACCCCCATCACCACCACCCCCCCCATCACCACCACCACCCCATCACCACCACCACCCCCCCATCACCACCACCACCCCCATCACCACCACCACCCCCATCACCACCACCACCCCCATCACCACCACCACCCCATCACCACCACCACCCCCATCACCACCACCACCCCCATCACCACCACCACCCCCCATCACCACCACCACCCCATCACCACCACCACCCCCATCACCACCACCACCCCCCATCACCACCACCACCCCCATCACCACCACCACCCCCATCACCACCACCAACCCCCATCACCACCACCCAACACCCCATCACCACCACCACCCCCATCACCACCACCACCCCCACCCACCACCACCCCCCCCATCACCACCACCCATCCACCACCATCCCATCACCACCACCCCCATCACCACCACCACCCCCATCACCACCACCACCCCATCACCACCACCACCCCCATCACCACCACCACCCCCATCACCACCACCACCCCCATCACCACCACCCCCCCCATCACCACCACCACCCCCATCACCACCACCACCCCCATCACCACCACCACCCCATCACCACCACCACCCCATCACCACCACCACCCCCATCACCACCACCCCCCCATCACCACCACCACCCCCATCACCACCACCCCCATCACCACCACCACCCCCATCACCTCCTCCCTCACCGCCGCGGGGGCTGGAGGGGGTGGGGGGATGGGGGGGCGGGGGGTGGGGGGTGGGGGAGGTGATGGCGGCAGCTGTGCAGCGGGGACGGCTCGCAGGTGCGAGACCCCGTGACTCAACCCCCTCACTCCCACCCCTCTCCAACCCCCCACCCCTCCCCTCTCCCCTCCCCCTCCCTCCCCCCTCCCTCCCCTTCCCCCCTCCAACCCCCCACCCCTCCCCTCCCCCCTCCCCCTCCCTCCCCCCTCCCTCCCCTTCCCCCCTCCAACCCCCCACCCCTCCCCTCTTCCCTCCCCCTCCCTCCCTCCCCCTCCCTCCCCTTCCCCCCTCCAACCCCCCACCCCTCCCCTCCCCCCTCCCCCTCCCTCCCTCCCTCCTCCCTCCCCTTCCCCCCTCCAACCCCCCACCCCTCCCCTCCCCCCTCCCCCTCCCTCCCCCCTCCCTCCCCTTCCCCCTCCAACCCCCCACCCCTCCCCTCTTCCCTCCCCCTCCCTCCCTCCCCCTCCCTCCCCTTCCCCCCTCCAACCCCCCACCCTCCCTCGGCCCCACCTGCCGCGCGCGTGCCACGCGCGCACCTGCGGAGGAACGCAGGTGCGCGCGCGTGTGTGTCCGTGCTTGCACAAGGTGTGTGTGTGTGCGTGTGCGCGTGTGTGTGCGCGTGTGTGCGCGTGTGTGTGTGTGCGCGTGTGTGCGTGTGTGCGTGTGTGCGTGTGCGTGTGTGTGTGCATGTTGTGTGTGCATGTGTGTGCATGTGTGCGTGTGTGTGTGTCTCTGTGCGATCTCTGTCTTTGTGTGTCCGCCCACCCCCGTGCCGGCTTTCATCGGTGCGAGTCGCTAACACCACTTTACCCAACAATCTGCTAAGGCTACACGGGGGGCTTTTGTCATTGGGAGAGGTTGGGAGAGCGGTGGCGTAATGGTTAGCGCACCGCGCTACTCAGCAGGCGAGCCGGGTGCGATTCCCGGCCACGGCCAAACAGCGGTGGAAAACACCTGAACCTGTTCTCAAGGTTGACTCGGCCTTAAATGAGTGGCTGGTGTGGTCTTTAAATATTCACCACGGGGAAGACAAAGACGGCCCAGCGTGGTTCTGGCCACCCACCCCCTCGTGTGCCGTGCCGGCCCTCATAGGCGCGACTCACTAACACCAAGCTCACAGCACTTGACCCTCAAGTTCACAGCACTTGCCCCACAAGCTCACAGCACTTGCCCCTCAAGCTCACATCACTTGCCCCTCAAGCTCACAGCACTTGCCGAGGCAGTTAACATCTCCTGTGTACCAGGCGAGGTGGTGAACATCTCCTGTGTACCAGGCGAGGTGGTTAACATCTCCTGTGTACCAGGCGAGGTGGTGAACATCTCCTGTGTACCAGGCGAGGTGGTGAACATCTCCTGTGTACCAGGCGAGGTGGTGAACATCTCCCAGCCACCGTGGCGCCCCTGGTGAGACCCTACGCACCGCGCGTGGCGACCCCACGTGCGGGTGGGGCGGAGGCGAGGACTGTCACATCGATATCTGATCATCAGCCCATGGAGCCAAACGGCGGTGGGGCACGGTGGGTGGGTGGGGGGGCACGGTGGGTGGGGGGCACGGTGGGTGGGGGGCACGGTGAGTGGGTGGGGGGCACGGTGGGTGGGAGGCACGGTGAGTGGGGGGCACGGTGGGTGGGGTGGGGGGCACGGTGGGTGGGGGGCACGGTGGGTGGGTGGGGGGCACGGTGAGTGGGGGGCACGGTGAGTGGGTAGGGGGCACGGTGGGTGGGGGGCACGGTGGGTGGGGGGCACGGTGGGTGGGTGGGGGGCACGGTGGGTGGGTGGGGGGCACGGTGGGTGGGGGGCACGGTGAGTGGGTGGGGGGGCACGGTGGGTGGGTGGGGGGCACGGTGGGTGGGGGCATGGTGGGTGGGGGGCACGGTGGGTGGGTGGGGGGCACGGTGGGTGGGTGGGGGGCACGGTGGGTGGGTGGGGGGGCACGGTGAGTGGGTGGGGGGGCACGGTGGGTGGGTGGGGGGCACGGTGGGTGGGGCATGGGTGGGTGGGGGGCACGGTGGGTGGGTGGGGGGCACGGTGAGTGGGTGGGGGGCACGGTGGGTGGGTGGGGGGCACGGTGGGTGGGTGGGGGGCACGGTGGGTGGGTGGGGGGCACGGTGGGTGGGGGCATGGTGGGTGGGGGGCACGGTGGGTGGGTGGGGGGCACGGTGAGTGGGTGGGGGGCACGGTGGGTGGGTGGGGGGCACGGTGGGTGGGTGGGGGGCACGGTGAGTGGGTGGGGGGGCACGGTGGGTGGGTGGGCGGGGCACGGTGGGTGGGGGCATGGTGGGTGGGGGCACGGTGGGTGGGGTGGGGGGCACGGTGAGTGGGTGGGGGGCACGGTGGGTGGGGTGGGGGGCACGGTGGGTGGGAGGCACGGTGGGTGGGGGGCACGGTGGGTGTGTTGGGGGGCACAGTGGGTGGGTGGGAGGCACGGTGGGTGGGAGGCACGGTGGGTGGGGGGCACGGTGGGTGGGGGGCCACGGTGGGTGGGGGGCACGGTGGGTGGGTGGGGGCACGGTGGGTGGGTGGGAGGCACGGTGGGGTGGGGGGGCACGGTGGGTGGGGGGCACGGTGGGTGGGGGGCACGGTGAGTGGGTGGGGGGCACGGGGGTGGGTGGGGGGGCACGGTGGGTGGGGGGCACGGTGGGTTGGGGGCACGGTGGGTGGGTGGGGGGCCCGGTGGGTGGGGGCCACGGTGGGTGGGTGGGGGGGCACGGTGAGTGGGTAGGGGGCACACGGTGGGTGGGGGGGCACGGTGAGCTGGGTAGGGGGGCACGGTGGGTGGGGGGCACGGTGGGTGGGTGGGGGCACGGTGGGTGGGTGGGGGGCACGGTGAGTGGGTAAGGGGCACGGTGGGTGGGTGGGGGGGCACGGTGAGTGGGTGGGGGGCACGGTGGGTGGGTGGGTGGGGGGGCACGGTGGGTGGGGGGCACAGTGAGTGGGTGGGGGGCACGGTGGGTGGGTGGGGGGGCACGGTGAGTGGGTGGGGGCACGGTGGGTGGGTGGGGCACGGTGGGTGGGGGGGCACGGTGGGTGGGTGGGGGGCACGGTGGGTGGGTGGGGGGCACGGTGAGTGGGTGGGGGGCACGGTGGGTGGGTGGGGGGGCACGGTGAGTGGGTGGGGGGCCACGGTGGGTGGGTGGGGGGCACGGTGGGTGTGTGGGGGGCACGGTGGGTGGGGGGCACGGTGGGTGGGGGGCACGGTGAGTGGGTGGGGGGCACGGTGGTGGGTGGGGGGCACGGTGGGTGGGTGGAGGCACGGTGGGTGGGTGGGGGGCACGGTGGGTGGGTGGGGGGCAAGGTGGGTGGGGGGGCACGGTGGGTGGGGGCACGTGAGTGGGTAGGGGGGGCACGGTGGGTGGGTGGGGGGCACGGTGAGTGGGTGGGGGGCACGGTGAGTGGGTGGGAGGCACGGTGGGTGGGTGGGGGGCACGGTGAGGTGGGTGGGGGGCACGGTGGGTGGGGGGCACGGTGGGTGGGGGGCACGGTGAGTGGGTGGGGGGGCACAGTGAGTGGGTGGGGGGCACGGTTGGGTGAGTGGGGCAACGGTGGGTGGGGGGCACGGGGGGTGGGTGGGGGGCGCGGTTGGGTGAGTGGGGGCACGGTGGGTGGGGGGCACGGTGGGTGGGGGGCACGGTGGGTGGGGGGCACGGTGAGTGGATGGGGGGGCACGGTGGGTGGGTGGGGGGGCACGGTGGGTGGGTTGGGGGCGCGGTGGGTGGGGGGCACGGTGGGTGGGTGGGGGTACGGTGGGATGGGTGGGGGGCACGGTGGGTGGGGGTCACGGTGGGTGGGGGGCAACGGTGAGTGGGTGGGGGGCACGGTGGGTGGGTGGGGGGCACGGTGGGTGGGTGGGGGCACGGTGAGTGGGTGGGGGGCACGGTGGGTGGGTGGGGGGCACTGTGAGTGGGGTGGGGGGCACGGTGGGTGGGTGGGGGGCACGGTGGGTGGGTGGGGGCACGGTGGGTGTGTGGGGGGCACGTGGGTGGGGGGCACGGTGGGTGGGGGGCACGGTGGGTGGGGGGCACGGTGGGTGGGGGGCACGGTGAGTGGGGGTGGGGGGCACTGTGGGTGGGTGGGGGGCACGGTGGGTGGGTGGGAGGCACGGTGGGTGGGTGGGGGGCACGGTGGGTGGGGGGCACGGTGGGTGGGAGGGCACGGGAGTGGGTGGGGGGCACGGTGGGTGGGTGGGGGGCACGGTGAGTGGGTGGGGGGCACGGTGAGTGGGTGGGAGGCACGGTGGGTGGGTGGGGGGCACGGTGAGTGGGTGGGGGGCACGGTGGGTGGGGGGCACGGTGAGTGGGTGGGGGGGCACGGTGGGTGGGTGGGGGGCACGGTGGGTGGGTGGGGGGCACGGTGGGTGGTGGCACGGTGAGTGGGTGGGGGGCATGGTGGGTGGGTGGGGGGCTCGGAGGGTGGGGGGGCACGGTGGGTGGGGGGCACAGTGAGTGGGGTGGGGGGCACGGTGGGTGAGTGGGGGCACGGTGGGTGGGGGAGCACGGTGGGTGGGTGGGGGGCGCGGTGGGTGAGTGGGGGCACGGTGGGTGGGGGGCACGGTGGGTGGGGGCACGGTGAGTGGATGGGGGGCACGGTGGGTGGGTGGGGGGCACGGTGGGTGGGTGGAGGGGCGCGGTGGGTGGGGGGCACGGTGGGTGGGTGGGGGTACGGTGGATGGGTGGGGGGCACGGTGGTGGGGGGTCACGGTGGGTGGGGGGCACGGTGAGTGGGTGGGGGGCACGGTGGGTGGGTGGGGGGCACGGTGAGTGGTGGGGGGCACGGTGGTGGGTGGTGGGGGGCACGGTGGGGGGCACGGTGAGTGGGTGGGGGGCACGGTGGGTGGGTGGGGGGCACGGTGGGTGGGTGGGAGGCACGGTGGGTGGGTGGGGGGCACGGTGGGTGGGTGGGGGGCACGGTGAGTGGGTAGGGGGCACGGTGGGTGGGGGGCACGGTGAGTGGGTGGGAGGCACGGTGGATGGGTGGGGGGCACGGTGAGTGGGTGGGGGGCACGGTGGGTGGGGGGCACGGTGGGTGGGGGGCACGGTGAGTGGGTGGGGGGCACGGTGGGTGGGTGGGGGGCACGGTGGGTGGGTGGGAGGCACGGTGGGTGGGTGGGGGGCACGGTGGGTGGGTGGGGGGCACGGTGAGTGGGTAGGGGGCACGGTGGGTGGGGGGCACGGTGAGTGGGTGGGAGGCACGGTGGGTGGGTGGGGGGCACGGTGAGTGGGTGGGGGCACGGTGGGTGGGTGGGGGGCACGGTGGGTGGGTGGGGGGCACGGTGAGTGGGTGGGGGGCACGGTGGGTGGGTGGGGGGCACGGTGGGTGGGTGGGGGGCACGATGAGTGGGGGGCACGGTGAGTGGGTGGGGGGCACGGTGGGTGGGTGGGGGGCACGGTGAGTGGGGGGCACGGTGAGTGGGTGGGGGGCACGGTGGGTGGGTGGTGGCACTACCGCGTCGACTCCGCTGGCGCGTCACCACCAGGGGGCGCCACCGGACCGCTGACAGCAGCAGCAGCAGCAGCAGCTGGGGGGGGCACGTGCAGAGCGAATGTTGACAAGGCTTTGTGCCTCTCACCACACTCGCCACAGACAGTCGCCCTCCACCTCACCACACTCATCAAACACGAGCCGTATCCCTAAGGGCCGTACATAAATGACGTCACGCACCTGGTGGGGGGGGGGGGGTCAGACATTTGTGACGATGTGTGACGAGGGGGGGGGGTGGGGTGAGAAATGTGACGTCACATCAAAATGCGCAACTTTAAATAAATATAGACAACACGTTCTACTTAATTAAATATACTTTTTAATAAATGTTTTCTCCTACAACATCAGAGTGCAGCGCCACATTAAATACGCACTACAATGACAATAGTTTAAAGCGATTTGAAGTATGGTTTATTTTGGGGGGGGAGGGCAGAGCTTTGTGACGTCATATTTGAGGGGGGGGTCTGACTTTTTGTGACGCCGTGTGACGAAGGGGGGGGGGGGGTAAAAAAATCGTCCAAAATTGCGTGACGTCATTTATGGACGGCCCCTAATTACACCACCACACACACTGCCCTTCCTACTCCTAACTACACCACCACACACACTGCCCTTCCTACCCCTAACTACACCACACACACTGCCCTTCCTACTCCTAACTACACCACCACACACACTGCCCTTCCTACCCCTAACTACACTCTCCAATCCGACCCTCACGCGAGCACCACCCGCAACTTCCTGGCACCGATCCGCCGCTTGCTCCCCACATTTGCAGTTCACGCCAAAGCCCGACCCAAACCTCGTCCCCTGCGCAGTCGTGGGGGTCATGGACACACGCTTGGTCACGTGGTTGTACAAAATTCTATATCCTTTATTTAACGGAGTTTCGATGCATCACTATCACCATCATCATCATCATCACATTCTTCTCCTCTTGTCAAATCAAGCGGTCACACTTTGTCATTCCACGCCATCCGCAGGCTCCGCTCCTCAGTGTCCACGTGGGATTTGGTTCGAACCGGGGCTCACAATGACCGAGCCCCACCCGTGGTCGTCGTTGGGCGGTGAAATGTTTTACGGAAAGTGGCGCTGTGGGCGCAGGCACCTCCTGGGTTGAGTGCTTTGAACACTGCCAACACAACAAAGCGTCCCCGCACAGACGCCAACTATTGGCCTGTGGGTTCTGGTCCGGATGGAGGTCAAATTAAACCGGGTCAGGTCGAGTTGGAGGTCAAATGTAACCGGGTGAGGTGGGTTTGTGGATCAACTTATACTGGATGAGGTCGGGTTGGAGGTCAAATGAAACCGCGTGAGGGCGAGTTGCAAGGTCTGGTCAGCTCGTTACCCGTCAGGTCGGGTCGGGGTCAAAAAGTTCAGACTGCCCCTGCAGTGACGTCACGCTCACGTGGTTGGTCGTCGCTCCACGTGGTCACAAATCGGCGTGGGCTGACCCGCCACTGAATGCCCGGCGAGAGGCAGCAGAGCGAACGGGTTCCCCCACGCCACGTGAGTTCGGTGTTGTTCGCCCCCTCCTCTCGTCGTACGCGGTGGGATTACCTCCTGTCACTTCCAAGTCCTTTCGACGAGAAATAATAAATAGATTTGACGCCGCACCGAGGAATTGAACAAACATCCCATGCGAGTGTCCTTTTTTGAAGTCAGCCCCGAGACTCTGCGAGGCTCTTCCCAGGTAAACACAGAAGCACTCACTGTGTTCCGTGTTCTCAGTTTGCGATTCAAACAGACCCTGTGTTGTGACTGGATGTTCCCGGAGGCGCACTGATAGATCATTTCATGCCACTTAATAAAAAAAAACACATTGTACAGCTGTGTGTCAGGATGTGTACGTTACGTGTCTGAGTATCCCCTAGGTCAACTCAGCCTCAAATGAGGACCTGGTGCGGTGTGTAAACATCGCCACTACAGGGAGACAAAGGCGGCCGGCCGTGGTGTTGGCCACCCTACCCCCTTGTGCACCGTGCCGGCCTTCATAGGCGCTCGCTAACACCACTTGCCCCAACAGTCTGTGCAGGCTAAACGGGGGATCTTTGTCCTTGTTACGTGTGTACTTGCATATGTGCACGATGCGTGTGTGCACCTAGCCTGGCACAATCACTGTGGTGACGTCACCGCCGCTTAGTGGCGAAGGGCGGTGGTTGTTGTTGCGGGGAGCGGTGGCGCAACGGTTAGCACACCGGGCGACGAACCCAGCGACCTGAGTTTGCGATTCCGACTCGCAGCCAGCACCGACAATCAGTGATGATTATCTGAGCCGGTACTGGGCATCTCCTAGGTCGACTCAGCCTCGAATGGGTACCCGGTGCGGGGTGTAAAACATCGTCACCAGGGAGACAAAGGCGGTCGGGCGTGGTGCTGGCCACCCACCCCGGCATGGAGTCTGTGTCGGCTATACGGGGTGTTCTTTGTGTTTGTATTTGTGTATTTGTGTGTGTATATATGCGTGTATGTGTGTATCTATGCGTGTGTGTGTATCTATGTGTGTGTGTATCTATGCGTGTGCGTGTGTATCTATGCGTGTGTGTGTGTATCTATGCGTGTGTGATGTGAATTAACGTAATTGTGAGTGAATAGACAGGCCAGACAACATCCAAACGGGAAATGCAAAGATGCATGAACTTCTTTCGCACCGTACGCAGCCACCCGTGCAAATCGAAGGCGCGAAAAGAAAACGTCGCTCGGCTGATGCCCCCCCACCGTCAAACCGGAGCTGGATAATGAGCAACACGACCCAGAGAATGGAGCTCCTCCACTCTCAGCCACCACCACCACCACCGCCTCCATCGCCTCCACCACCACCACCACCACCGCCGCCTCCACCATCGCCTCCACCACCATCGCCTCCACCACCACCACCGCCTCCACCACCACCGCCATCGCCTCCACCACCACCGCCGCCTCCACCACCAGCGCCGCCTCCACCACCACCGCCATCGCCTCCACCACCATCGCCTCCACCACCACCAGCGCCGCCTCCACCACCACCGCCATCGCCTCCACCACCACCGCCATCGCCTCCACCACCACCGCCGCCGCCTCCACCACCACCGCCGCCTCCACCACCACCGCCATCGCCTCCACCACCACCGCCTCCACCACCACCACCGCCTCCACCACCACCGCCTCCACCACCACCACCACCGCCTCCACCACCACCACCACCATCGCCTCCACCACCACCGCCGCCTCCACCACCAGCACCGCCTCCACCACCACTGCCTCCACCACCACCACCAGCACCGCCTCCACCACCACCACCATCGCCTCCACCACCACCGCCGCCTCCACCACCACCGCCGCCTCCACCACCACCGCCGCCTCCACCACCACCGCCGCCTCCACCACCACCGCCGCCTCCACCACCACCGCCGCCTCCACCACCACCATCGCCTCCACCACCACCACCATCGCCTCCACCACCACCGCCGCCTCCACCACCACCGCCGCCTCCACCACCACCGCCGCCTCCACAACCACCGCCGCCTCCACCACCACCGCCGCCTCCACCACCACCATCGCCTCCACCACCAGCGCCGCCTCCACCACCACCGCCGCCTCCACCACCGCCTCAACCACCACCATCGCCTCCACCACCACCGCCGCCTCCACCGCCGCCTCCACCACCACCGTCGCCTCCACCACCACCGCCGCCTCCACCACCACCGCCGCCTCCACCACCACCGCCGCCTCCACCACCACCACCGCCATCGCCTCCACCACCACCACCGCCTCCACCACCACCTCCACCACCACCGCCGCCGCCTCCACCACCACCACCGCCATCGCCTCCACCACCACCATCGCCTCCACCACCACCATCGCCTCCACCACCACCATCGCCTCCACTATCATCGCCTTTACCGCCACCACCATCTTCGCCGCTGCTCGCGATGATTCGTAAGGGACGCACCCGAGGGGTGTAAGAAGAGAGGCTCGCACACAACGAGCGGTCGGGCGGCTCAGCACACACAGGGCGAATTGGGGGGGGGGGCACGCTGGTGGGGGGGGGGGGCACGCTGGTGGGGGGGGGCACGCTGGTGGGGGGCACGCTGGGGGGGGGGGGGGCACGCTTGTGCGTGCCAGTCGACTCGTCCGGTGAACCTGCGGCACCCGAGGCTCGTCCCGTGACTTCTTGCTGCCGGCAGCGAGACTGGCACAAGTGCCGTGGTGATGCCACCATCGCTATGTGGTGAATGGCGGTTGTTGTTGTTGTGTAATGTGTGCGCGCGTGTCAATATTTACATAACCGCGGGCGGGAACAGGTGAGGTTTTTGGTAGAGACGGGAGTTGTCGGCTCATGCATGGATCATCATCATCATGACCTCATCAATTAGCGTGGACAGGCAATTAGCACAACGCAGATAATTAAAACACGCGCGGGCAACAGATTGCTCAAGCCCCCGACTGCAAGCGCATCCCAACGGGCGCACACAAGAGCCGTGCCCGGGGCACACGGCGAGTCGGGGAGACCGCCCCGGGCCCCGTGCATGGGGGGGGGGGGCGCTTTAACGTCACGGTGCCAGATGTAATACTTCCGGCTTAGTGGGAAGGCGTCAGGGGGCCCACGCGGTGTGGGGTTTGCCCCGGGCCCCGCAGCCCCCCTTCTATGGACGGCCCTGCCCCCCCCACCCCCCCAGGGCTCTTCTCTTGTCGCTACGCCACACGCGGGCGGTGAGAGTCTCAGCGATGTCCCGCAGAGGGTGGCCACACGGCCACACGGCCACCTGTCTGGGTTCGGGTGGGACTTTTATTCGTGCCAAGATCTGGTACCCGAATCGTGCCGGACTGTTACTGAATTGCGGTTGACGGTACAGGTTGGATCATCGACCTCTCATGCTAACCGATAAATACGCCCGGGTTTGGACGACTGTGGAACACGTGGCAACCATACCACCCGGCCACTCACCCACCCACTCATTCATTAAAGCACCCATTCATTTTCCAAGTCACTCGGTAACTCACCCACCCGCTCACCTATTAATACTCACATTAATTTGCCAAGTCGCTCACTTACACACGAGGGTTGCCACCTGCCCGGGTCGGTATTGGCGTCCGTGCTCGGGTGACAGGAATCGATTTGTGCCGATAGCTGCTGCCGCAATCGTGTTGAGCTGCGCTCTATCGCAGTTGCCGGTGCCGGCGATGACACGATGCCGAGTGGCGACTGCGGAATTGCGCCGGGCGCTGTCTGTCCGTCTGTCCGGCTGCTGCGGCATCATCGGTGGCGGCTCCCGTGGCGCCAGCAGCCTCGCGTGCAGAGCCGCTCGCCTGGGCAGGCGGGCCAGTCTCCCTCCAAGTCGATTCCCGCTCACGGCAACCAACACCGGTGACCAGTATCTCCCCTAGGTCGACTCAGCCTCAACACGAGTACCCGGTGCAATGCGTAAACATCGTCGTTGGGAGACAAAGGCGGCCGGGCGTGATGCCCCCTCCCCCCCCCTCGTGTGCCGTGACGGCCTCCGTAGGCGCTACTCGCTAACCGCACTTGCCCCAACAGTGTGTTAAGGCTACACGGGGGATCTTTGTCTTTAGTCTTCCTCTAAAAGCACTGGACGCCACCTCCACCTCGTCGCTCCGCTCTCTCCGCTGGCCGGGACCCCGTGGCGGCACCGCCCGCGACGACGCGGGCCGAACGCCACGAGATTTTGCCGAACTCCCCAACGAGCCGCGGGGCCGTGGAAGAGGTGGCCACGAGGTGGCAGTCCAGCAGGCGGGTCGGAGCACCCGTCCGGACACCCCTCCAGGCAGCAAGGCTGTCCAGCTGTCCAGCTGTCCAGCATGACCTCCCCCTCGTTGGTTTTCTCTGGATACTCCGCTCTCTCTCTCCCGCGTGACGCGAACATGCGCGCCGTGTCTAACATTCGTCCAACGCGTCCCCACGTGTCACCCCTCGGGCGCTCGGGCCCAGTTCCGACCTCGCAGGCCGTCGTGAAGAAGCAGTTGGAGCGATCCGGGGCTCGCTCGCTCGCAGGTCGCTTCCTGATCACTCTTCTATCGCTGCTACGACTACGCGGTTCCTGCTCCCGTGGATCTGGCTGGCTGCCTCGTTTCACTGCGTCCACATCGCACGTTCATTCAACACCACCCTGCTGCAGGTCACAACAACACACCCACCCACTCGCCTATGCACTCACCCACCCACTCGCTCACCCACCCTCTCACTCCCCACACTGCAGGTCACCTCACTTCTGTCTGCGTGTCCTCTCGTACTGCTCCACTGTGTAGAGTTCCCTCCTCCACCCACCACCATCGTCTCTTCTCCGTCCCCCACTCATCTCTCACAACAACGACCTCCTCGCTCGGTTCAAGGAGCGCGTTCCCAACTCCTCGCGATTACTACAGTGGCAGTGCTCCTTGTTGCTGACCGCTCGGCGACTCTGTTCAAACGAAAATGTAGCAGGAGCCTCGTCCCCCACGAGACTCTAAACACGACGACGTCTTTGCCCTCCGCGCACCCCCCCCCTCAAGGTCCCCATCCCAAGCTCGACTCCCAGCCCTGGTGCCCCACCCCCCCATTGACGCGAGGTGACGCTTCCAGGCTGCTGCTGCTGCTGCTGGTGGGGGTGGGGTGGGGGGGTACCCCCACGGCTTCACACGGGGCCCGGGTAGTGCGGTGGGGGCGGCCGCGCCGGTGGTGGGGGGCCCGAGGTGTCCCCCAGTTTCCGCCAAACCACCTGGCGGAGGAGAGGAGACAGAGGAAGGGGGGCGGTCGTGGTGTGTGCGTGTGTGTGTGTGCACGTGAGTGCGTGTGTGCGTGTGTGTGTGAGTGCGTGTGTGTGCGTGAGTGTGTGCGTGTGTGTGCGTGAGTGCGTGTGTGTGCGTGAGTGTGTGCGTGAGTGTGTGCGTGAGTGTGTGCGTGTGTGTGCGTGAGTGTGTGCGTGTGTGTGCGTGAGTGCGTGTGTGTGCGTGAGTGCGTGAGTGTGCGTGAGTGTGCGTGTGTGTGCGTGAGTGTGCGTGTGTGGGGAGCGGTAGTGTAGCGGTTAGCGCACTGAACCTGCCGACCCGGATTCGATTCCCGCTCACGGTCAACACCAGTGACGATTATCTGAACCGGTTCTGGGCCTCCCATTGGTCGATTCAGTCTCAAATGACCAGGTGCGGTGTGTAAACATCGCCACTGGGAAGACAAAGGCGGCCGGGCGCGGTGCTGGCCACCGGCCCCCTCGTGTGCCGTGCCGGCCTTCATTGGTGCTCGCTAACAGCACTTTCCCCGACTGTCTGTTAGGGGCTACACGGGGGATCTTTGTCTTTGTAGTCCTGTGAGTGGGCGAGCGAGTGGGTAGCACCAAGATTCGCCCTTCGGATCGCACACGCACGCACACACGCACGCACACACGCACACACACACGCGCACACACGCACGCACCCCACACCCCCCGTCTCGTGGCCCACGGACAAGGGGGTTTGTCATTGACTGTGAACCCCCCCTACCCCCCCCATACCCCCCGTGGCGTTTAAGCCACTCAGCACCCACCCCCCCCACTAGCCGCCTCCGCCCTAAATGCCCTCTCACGTACCCCCCCCCCACCCCCCTCACCAGGGACGTCGATTAATCCGATCGTCAAACGGCACCGGCTCGAACCCACGACTCTCTGCGGGCTGTGGACGGCGCCTCCGCCGAGTGGTGGGTGGGCGAGAGGCCGCCCCGACCAAGGTCCCCTTGGAGCTCGGCACTTTAGAACCGCGTGGATCCAAAACTCACTTTCTACATTGGCATGTCGTGAATCCCCAACACGTTGAGCACGTAGATTCAAAACTCATTCCTCTACAACTGCTTCTTGTGTTCAGTTTGTCGTCCTTCCCCCTCGCGGCGTGGACACACACAGACACGGCGTGGACACACACAGACACGGCGTGGACACACGCAGACACGGCGTGGACACAGACACGACGTGGACACACACAGACACGCGTAGACACACGCAGACACGGCGTGGACACACACAGACACACGCAGACACGACGTGGACACACACAGACACGCGTAGACACACGCAGACACACGCAGACACGGCGTGGACACACACAGACACACGCAGACACGACGTGGACACACACAGACACGCGTAGACACACGCAGACACGGCGTGGACACAGACACGGCGTGGACACAGACACGGTGTGGAGACACAGACACGGCGTGGAGACACAGACACCATGTGGCACACACAGACACGGCGTGGCACACACAGACACGGCGTGGACACACGCAGACACGGCGTGGACACAGACATGACGTGGACACACACAGACACGCGTAGACACACGCAGACACGGCGTGGACACACACAGACACACGCAGACACGACGTGGACACACACAGACACGCGTAGACACACGCAGACACACGCAGACACGGCGTGGACACACACAGACACACGCAGACACGACGTGGACACACACAGACACGCGTAGACACACGCAGACACGGCGTGGACACAGACACGGCGTGGACACAGACACGGCGTGGACACAGACACGGTGTGGAGACACAGACACGGCGTGGAGACACAGACACCACGTGGCACACACAGACACGGCGTGGCACACACAGACACGGCGTGGACACACACAGACACGGCGTGGACACACACAGACACGGCGTGGACACACACAGACACACACAGACACGACGTGGACACACACAGACACGGCTTGGACACACACAGACACGGCGTGGACACACACAGACACGACGTGGACACACACAGACACGGCGTGGACACACACAGACACGACGTGGACACAGACACGGCGTGGAGACCAGTGGCGGCTCGTCAATAGAGGGCGCAGGGGCGCTGCCCCCATCAATATTCAAGAAATATACATATGCAAAATTTATATAAAAATACATAAATAAAATATTTTTTTCATACGATGTGCCGGCTGGTAGTAAGAAAAGCATCAGCATTTAATAAAAACTGGCTTTAATCGGTCAACTATTTTCTATGTTTTTCAATGTGTTTCATGCGGGGCGCCGGACAAATGGATGTCTATGTGAGACTTTAAATTTTCGGACAGCATGTGACCTGAAGCTGGTCTCTAATTGGTTTCTTAAAGATTCTCCTCGGGGCGCAAGTCGTTGCGTCCCTGGCCAATCAGAATTGGATACATGTTATTTTATCCAATCTGATTGGTTCTCGTCACCTGTCATTCAAATTTACGCTCTGGGCCACTACTGCGAGTGCGCAGGCGACACCACTTTGACACTTGCTAGGCTGATCAAATTTTTTGTGTAAACAATGGCAGCAGTTCATCCAAATTCTGTAATTTATTTACAAAAAAAACCCTTTCACAAGGCTTTCGCTGAAAGAAATAAAAAAGATAAAGGATCTCGGACCGGACCAACCCGATTTACAAATCCAGCAGCAGGCCAGTGACAGAGGACGAAGCTACACACGAAGCTTCACCCGCGCTTGTTATGAGAAACGGAGGTGGCTGGCTGGATGTGATGTTAGCAATTCTCTTTTTTGTTTTCCCTGTCTTTTATTTCAAAGTGTCGGCACTGAAGTTTTGTGGACAACGACGGGGGTAAGAGACCTCAAACATCTCTCTGACAAATGCAAACGTCATGAAAGTAGCCGCAGCCATATTGATAATAGCATGAAACTAACGTTTTTATGTTCAAGTAGGAAACATGCTTTTTGGTACTTTGGTCTGAAATGTATATAAAAGAGAAACATTTATGTTCAAGTAGGAAACATGCTTTTTGGTACTTCTTTTGGTCTGAAATGTAAATAAAGATCATCAAAATTTATATTCAAGTAGTCAAAATGGTTTTTGGTACTGCTTTATATTTATTTCCCCCCCTCAATAAAATAAAAAAATGCGCCCCCCCAAAAATAAATATCACCAGCCGCCACTGGTGGAGACACAGACACGGCGTGGACACACGCAGACACGACGTGGACACACACAGACACGGCGTGGACACACGCAGCGTTCTGACCCGTCCCTACTGGAGTATACATACAGATTCTCATGTCCCAGTATCCGACTGTCTCCCTATGGCACCTCGTTGCCTCTCCCCGCGTCTCCATGTGGGGAGGGGGGTCTGGGGGGTCAGGGTGGGGGGTGTCAAGGGGGTGTGGGGGGCGGGGTGGCAGGGGGGTGTGGGGGGGGTGGCAGGGGGTGTGGGGGGGCGACGTACGTTACACATCTCGCGCACGATGGCCTTCTCCTTCTCGCTCATGTCTCGCTCCCGCGCCTGCGCCCGCCTCTCCAGCTTCTCGTGCACCTCCAGCACCTGTGGGCGGCACGCGGTCACGTGGTCACGGGCGGCACGTGGTCACGGGGGGCACGTGGTCACGGGCGGCACGTGCTCACGGGGGGCAAGGGGGGCACGTGGTCACGGGGGGCACGTGGTCACGGGCGGCACGTGCTCACGGGGGGGCAAGGGGGGCACGTGGTCACGGGGGGCACGTGGTCACGGGCGGCACGTGCTCACGGGGGGCAAGGGGGGCACGTGGTCACGGGGGGCACGTGGTCACGTGGTCACGGGCGGTCACGTCATCATGGGTGCGGTGAGGAGCCGGCACGCCCTGCTGGTTTGTTTCAGACCCGAATCTAGACAAGTTTTGCGTTATCGGTTTAGTTTTTTTCGTGTTTTTTTGGGGCCCACACCCTGTCCTCCCCCTGCCCCCTGCGCCCCATTACCCCGAGTAATCGTAGTAATGGGGGTAATGGGGGCCACGGTGGCTGGAAGATGTTAACTATTCCGCCTGGTATACAGGAGGTCGTGGGTTCGATCCCAACCTTGACGCCTGCTGCTGTATATTTGGAGTTTGCATGTTCTCCCTGTCTTCGCGTGGGTTTTTTTCCGGGACCTCCAGTTTTTCCCTCCACATTTAGAATCGACATCACCATATGCTTAAGAGCATTTGGCTTCGACAGATTTCCACACGATGAGCCACTTCATTGGGCAATCATTTGTGATAGCCAGGTCGCTTCTGAAAAAGAGCTTTCCAGCCCAGTGCGCCTTACTTGGTCAAATAAAAATGTAGTTCAGTTTAATAGTTTCTAGTAATTGAGAGTGGAATGTAGGAAGAGTGAGTCCTGGCTCGTACGTATCAAACCAACTAAAATATAATCGCAAAGTTCCTGGGTGCCAGGCGCAGTGGTGATGGCTTTGGCGGTGGCCGACACGCCAACCATTGGCCGTGGAACACGACGCGCGCTCAGCTGGTGCGGCTCCGGCAGGCCGCCCCGGTTAATGATGCGGTGTCTTTGTGTTAGCCGTAAATGACGACGCGCCATCGGCATTTAAAGATACTGTGACGCTAAAGATCACGTGATGATAAAAATCCCATGACGCTAAAGTTCCTGTGACACTAAAGATCACGTGACACTAAAGATCTCGTGATGATCATTGATCCCGTGACACTAAAGATCTCGTGACGATCATTCCAAGCGAGTGAGACCCTTGTGTGCCCAAATTTGTCACATTAGAAAAACGTCACCGCAGACGACTCAAGCGGGATTCCACGGAGCAACCATCCAGCTGTGAAACACCGGCACCTTCACGACAGCCCTGAGCCATGAGAATTGCACGAATACCAAAATTAAATGTACTGGAAGTGCTATCGTGCTATTGTTATTATTATCACCACTCATATGGTACGTGGTCACGGGCGGCACGTGCTCACGGGGGGCAAGGGGGGCACGTGGTCACGGGGGGCACGTGGTCACGGGCGGCACGTGGTCACGGGGGGCAAGGGGGGCACGTGGTCACGGGGGGCACGTGGTCACGGGCGGCACGTGCTCACGGGGGGCAAGGGGGGCACGTGGTCACGGGGGGCACGTGGTCACGTGGTCACGGGCGGTCACGTCATCATGGGTGCGGTGAGGAGCCGGCACGCCCTGCTGGTTTGTTTCAGACCCGAATCTAGACAAGTTTTGCGTTATCGGTTTAGTTTTTTTCGTGTTTTTTTGGGGCCCACACCCTGTCCTCCCCCTGCCCCCTGCGCCCCATTACCCCGAGTAATCGTGGTAATGGGGGTAATGGGGGCCACGGTGGCCGGGAGATGTTAACTATTCCGCCTGGTATACAGGAGGTCGTGGGTTCGATCCCAACCTTGACGCCTGCTGCTGTATATTTGGAGTTTGCATGTTCTCCCTGTCTTAGCGTGGGTTTTTTTCCGGGACCTCCAGTTTTTCCCTCCACATTTAGAATCGACATCACCATATGCTTAAGAGCATTTGGCTTCGACAGATTTCCACACGATGAGCCACTTCATTGGGCAATCATTTGTGATAGCCAGGTCGCTTCTGAAAAAGAGCTTTCCAGCCCAGTGCGCCTTACTTGGTCAAATAAAAATGTAGTTCAGTTTAATAGTTTCTAGTAATTGAGAGTGGAATGTAGGAAGAGTGAGTCCTGGCTCGTACGTATCAAACCAACTAAAATATAATCGCAAAGTTCCTGGGTGCCAGGCGCAGTGGTGATGGCTTTGGCGGTGGCCGACACGCCAACCATTGGCCGTGGAACACGACGCGCGCTCAGCTGGTGCGGCTCCGGCAGGCCGCCCCGGTTAATGATGCGGTGTCTTTGTGTTAGCCGTAAATGACGACGCGCCATCGGCATTTAAAGATACCGTGACGCTAAAGATCACGTGATGATAAAAATCCCATGACGCTAAAGTTCCTGTGACACTAAAGATCACGTGACACTAAAGATCTCGTGATGATCATTGATCCCGTGACACTAAAGATCTCGTGACGATCATTCCAAGCGAGTGAGACCCTTGTGTGCCCAAATTTGTCACATTAGAAAAACGTCACCGCAGACGACTCAAGCGGGATTCCACGGAGCAACCATCCAGCTGTGAAACACCGGCACCTTCACGACAGCCCTGAGCCATGAGAATTGCACGAATACCAAAATTAAATGTACTGGAAGTGCTATCGTGCTATTGTTATTATTATCACCACTCATATGGTACGCGGCGTTGACACTAATGCAAGCAACCACGCAAAAACAAATTAACGTGTGAAAAGAGGCAATTACCGCATCATCGCATGCTTCGTCGGCGCTTTAAATATCTGTTTAGCGGAATTACTTACCGCCAGAGGTGTAAGAGGTTTGACTGCAGCGCTAATTTTATGTTTGTCTAGGGGAAGCGGGCGCCCATGTAGCGACGGTAAACGAGCGTGTCTGTGAGTCACGCCGTGCCCTCACAAGCAGCAGCTGCCTGCGGCAATCACAACGAGTTGTAACCACGGGACAGAGGAGGCGCGCCGTGTAGCGGCGGCGCTCTGACAGAGCGATGCAATCGGACAGCCCACTAAATGACCGGTCGAAGATTTGCCTCCCCCCCCCCCATACAAGAGGTGGGCCGGCGTGTCCTTGCCCGCATGCAAGGTATTGCGGATCATTAATCGAGGTCAATCGTATCGATTCTGCTCCATCGATCCTGCAGTCGCTCAGAGTTGATAGGGGCAGCCATCTTGAGAATGGCGATTGATTGGCAATCAATGTTTGGATGGAGTTCGTCGTGTTCCAGGCCAACCTTCCTTTGATTGGCCAATAACGGCAGGCATCGGTGATTCCATCGCGCTCTGCTTTTATTTTAAGTAAAAATCGCGTCATAATAAATAATACACAATGTAGGGGTAAAGCACGGTCCGCGATAACACGTGAGATGCCTACGCAGGCCGAACAAACACCGAGGTGCGTGGGTAGCGTCTAGAAGTATCCAGCAGCATCCCACTGCCTCGTGCGATGATGCGGCGCCGAGGCCGTCGTACGACCGCTGATTCCTACTCACGCTGCGACGTAGTTCCGTTCACTCGATCGCGTTATATCAAAGTCACATTCGCGTTGTAAAAATGTGTTCCCTAGTACATTCATCGCGTTGTATCCAATTCGCGTTGTGAAAACAACACGTGGCGTTAGAGGAGAACGGGCTGCACCCAACACAGCAGGCCCACAACACAGCAGGCCCACAACACAGCAGGCCCACGCCAAGCGTGATGCCACTCCACGTCAAACCGCAACACTCCACGTCTCACTGCAAAGTCACACCGCAACACACCACCCCACCTTATACCGGAACGGCACTATTATTTATTTATTTCCCAGGTAAACCCCACTGAGCTCTGTCGCTCTTTGTAGACCGGTGAGTGGGCCAGCCACAAATGAAGCTCAACGAAGTGGCTTGTCATCATGTGGACATTTACAGCAGCCAAAGACTTGAAACGCGTGTTTCTAAATGTGGAGGGAAAAACTGGAGGATCCGGAGAAAAATCCACACGACCACAGGGGTAGAGAGACATGGAAACTGCAAATATACAGCAGGCATCAGGGTCGGGATTGAACCTACGATACCACGGCACATCACGACAAATCGTAACGCGCCATGCCACGTGAAGCCACAACGCTTCGTGCCACGTCATAACGCAACACGCGACAAGCCACACCGCGCGACAACACAACACGCCACTCTGCGGCACTCCACAACACACCACACGTTGCCGCACCACGCGGCAAGCCACGCCACACGGTGCCATATCGCACCACCGTGCCACCGTGCCACCACATCACCATGCCGCACCGTGGCACCGTGCCACCAGCCACACCATTCCAGAGTGTCACACCATGCCATGGCATCCTCGTACCCTTGTGTCGGCCCCGTGCACCGCAAACCTTCGCATGCACCTGCTTGTGTACTTGTACACACAGCCGTAGTCACGCACGCACTCGCGTACACGCCGACACACATGTACACACACGCACACTCACGCAGTCACGCGTGTGTACACACTCTCGTACTCACGCACGCTCATGTACACGCTCACACACTCGTACATACACGCACACTCGTACGCACACGTGTACACACACGCACACACTCAATTGTTCGTTTTTGTTACTTTCTCTCTCTCTCGTGGCAAAACTCGTGTACAAGTATAGAAGGCAGGTAGGTCGTGGTGGGGCTATGTACCGTCCGCGGGTACCTTCATGGCATGCACCACCGCTTCCGGCTTCTGGCCCGGGTAAGAGGGCGGACTCGGCTGCCTGGCCGTGACGCTTCCTTCTCCACCGCCACCTCCGCCGTCGCACAGCGCCCACACGCCGCTCTGCAACGGCACGAGCAGCAGCAGCAGGCTGAGAGTGAGTAACACAGAGGCAGGAGACATCGAGAGTGCGGGCCTTGGGGCCTACGGTGGGGGCCGTGCCCGCACTGCCGAGCCGCCGCTGGAGGGGCCAATGGTTACAACTAAAACCACTTCATTTATTTTCCCAGCTCAGGCCCAGCGAGTTATCAGAAGTGACCTGGCTATCACAAATAATAGCTCCAGCAAGTGGCTCATCGTCACGTGGACATTTATAGCAGCAACCAAATACTCGACTGGAGGAATCCGGTGAGCTATGCAGCTCTTTTTTTCAAAGATGTCCAGTAGGAGCACGGGGTCAGAACATTCCAACAACAAACAGTACAAAAACAACGATACGAGTGCAAAGTATAGGAAAGTTAAATAAATCTTTAAAATATATATATAAATAATACCAAACTATTTTTTTATTTTACCAGGTAAGGCCCACTGAGCTATCAGAAATGATAGCTCAACGAAGTGGCTTATCACGTGGAAATTTATAGCAGCAAAAAATGCACATTCATTCTAAATATGGAGGGAAAAACCAGAAGACCAGGAGAAAAAGGCACGTGACCACGGGGAGAGAGAGAGAGAGACACGCAAACTCCAAATATACAGCAGCAGGCGTCCGAGTCGGGATCGAACGATCTCCTGTATGCCAGGCGAGGTAGTTAACATCTCCTAGCCACGGTGGCCAGGAGATGTTAATTACCTCTTCTGGTATACAGGAGGTCGTGGGTTTTATTCTGATCCTGAAGCCTGCTGTGTATTGGGAGTTTGCATATTCTCCCGGTGGTCATGTGGATTTTTCACCGGGTCCTTCGGTTTTTCCCTCCACATTTAGAATCAACGTGCATTTCGAGTATTTTGCTGCTATAGATTTCCACATGGTGATAATCCACGTCGTTGAGCGATCATTTGTGTGGCCAGGTCGATTCTGAAAAAGAGCTACACAGCTGGTACAATACAAAAAGGTAGTGAGATAGTAGTAATAACATCACTCCCCTTACACCCGCCGATACGATAAGTCGTCACGATTCGATGCAAGAATGCTTTATGTTGTCTTGTTCCTATTACCTGTCTCGCTGGAACCGTCTCAGGTGAAAGGATTTATAGCGCTGTGCACTCACCTCCCGTGGCAGGGCAGCGTTCCTGACGGATGTGGCGCGTGCGCTTTTGAGTGCCAGTGCCTCGCTGTCAACACAGCCCCCCCCCCCTGATGTGTTTCTATCTGCCCATGCATCCATCCATCGACACTTATTCGTCCACAGAACCGGCACTGCTTTTACATTAACCCCAATCCTCCCTTGCATAATACATACGCAGACGAAATACCTCCTTCCCAGATTTGTCTCCCAACATTTCTAACATTTAAGTATTCGTTTTACACATCCCATCGGCCCCACGGCCTTCTGGGACTGACTGAGCTATCGTTTGTGGCCAGGTCCCTCCTGAAAGAAGAGCTGCAGCTCAGTGGGCCTCACCTGGTAAGTACACATCGTGTCGTAGTTTCAGTTAATGCCACTCAAACTTGGATGTTCTGTTCAGCTATGGAAACCGGAGGACCCTGAAGGAAACCCCATGCACCTCAACAGTGGGGAGAACAAACAGACTCCACACACCCCCCGATTAGCAGGGCTGGCCAAGTACGCCGCGAAAGGAGTGCAATGTACACACACACACGCACACGCGCGTGTGTGTGTGTACAAGTGGATGTGTGGTGGATTCCTGTAGCCTGGCTCACTGCACACGATGGACCCCTCCCCCCCCCTTCCCCCATCACACCTCCCACCCTCCCTGGGCCGGAGGATGAAAGCAGGATTCTGGGGCATGCGTGAAGTCCGCCTTGCAGGCGGACCGTGGGTGGCTCACACCGAGCGCCGATTAGACGCGGAGCTGGCTGCAGCGGCGTAGCAGCTGAGTGCGTTGGCGGTGCATCTGCACCGTGGGCGGGGGGGGGGGTCACAGACGAGAGTGGCACCGGGTGCCTGGCTACACCCACTGCTCCTCACTCGTCGAGGGTCGGCGGAGTGAGCGACCCGCGTGGCTCCCCACGGGTCGGGCGAGTGAACGCGTTCATCCAGGAAGCGAAACAAACACACAGACGGCGCATCCAATGCCGACACTCCCCGTGTGTACGTGCTCTCTCCGCTGCTGCCCTGCCCATGTGTACGTGCTTTCTCCACTGCTACCCTGCCCGTGTTCACTTGCTCTCTCCGCTGCTACCCTGCCCGTGTTCACTTGCTCTCTCCGCTGCTACCCTGGCCACATGCACGTGCTTCCTCTGCTGCTAATTTCTATCCTAACTGAAATGTCTTGCATTAATTAATTATCTGTCTCTTTTTTTATCAGGGCCACCGTTAACTCCCACCTCATTGCGGCAGATAATTGAGATGACTGTACTGGCTTCGGTACAATTTAATTTCTATGTCCTGCCATGAGAATGTGGAATTTCCACCACTGGCTGCTCAGCATCCCAGTGGAGATGCGCAGGGAGATGCGTGGTTGTGATCTCGGCTTGCTGTGACACGGCCACTCCTGAGACACGTTGTACGATGCACAATCATGTCGTCACGCAGCGATTCGCTTTCTTGTAGCATTTGTATCAGCTCTTTTTTCCCCTTATGAAATAATTGGTGCGCTACGGTGGCTAGGAGATGTTAACTCCCACGCCTGGTATGCAGGAGGTTGTGGGTTCGATCTTGACCCTAACGATTGTATATTTGGAGTTTGCGTGTCTCTCTCCCCGCGGTCACGTGGATTCTTCTCCGGCTCCTCCGGGTTTTCTCTCCACATTTAGAAAGACGCGTTAAGAGTGTTTGTCTGCTATACATTTCCACGTGATAAGCCACTTCGTTGAGCTATCATTTGTGATAGGCAGCTCGCTTCTGAAAGAAGATCTCCATAAACACACACACAGCTGTTACCCGTTATGTTAATGCTCTGTTGATGTTTTACGGAGTAACTGACGTCATTGGCACTAGACGGCGATGACGGCCGCGTTGAGATTTTGATATCGGATCGTCTCATGGCGAAACATTATACCGCGGCAACCCCCACTTTAATCATTAATAACAAAGCCCATTTGGTAGTCACCCAAGTTGAGTAATTTTCGGTCTAATTTACTAATTTGTAAAACTTGGAGCGTGATGCTGTTCGGCACGCGCTGACTCGGCACCAGGCCTGCGACGCAGGCGTCAGGCGGCCTGTAGGGGATGATGGTGATGATGACTTCTTTGTGGATATCGTTTATTGTTACATTTGAATCAAAGTTCCTATGATTACTGTTGTTACATTGTATTTTATAGCTATTTTTTGGTGATTTCCAAAACATATGGTTAAGCCACGTTTCTTGCGGAAGTGCGGAGTTGGACTGACAACTTGAATCTAAATTGTCTTATGGTTGTTATTGTTTGACTTGCATCACACTGGGATTTTTGCACACAGCGTTGTAATACGGTGTTTGTTTTTTCTGGAAGATTTGCTGGTTTATCCCAGGATGTTTCTATTGCGCGTCATCGCTTTAAGATGTTCTCCGTTCATATTGTGTTTGTTGCGGTTGCACCCGACTCAAGAGCCGCATGGCTCACAGGGCTCTACCTAATACATTAAACGTGAAACTTGTATGTTGAACCTCTTTTGCAGCGTATCAACCCAAACGTGCTAATCGGAGGTGCGGGGGGGAGGGGGACAACAAACTAAACGCAAAAAGCAGTTCTCAAGAAATTAGTTCTCATTTTTAGATTAAATAATCTAGATTCTTTAAAAAGATCCAGTGGCTTCCTAATGTTGGGAGGAAGAGTTCCAGGGGACTGCAGAAGCGCACGACGTGCGCCTTGCGGGCGACTTCCTAATTTGGATAATTCTGGACCCGTGGCACCGGCACGCGACGGGCTGCCTCTCGCTGACGATGCCGCAGGGGCGACGTTAACGTCCGCTGTGAGGGGGGGGGGGGGCGGTGCATCGTAATCTGGGGTGAAGCGACACAACCGCAGTAACAGTTTTCCGTCTGATTGCCACTCTCGCGCGCCTTCATGTCACACAATGACTCGGGGGATGTTTTTGAAAAGCCGTGACTTCCCCAAGGCGTTTCCAACCACTCCTTTAGCTCGTAATATTTGTTTTCGAGATTTTTTCATGGTCTTGGTTTTTATTGAAAATAAAAAAACAGTGCATACTTTTTCAAAGGTTTTTTTTGCAGGAGAGCACCACTGTGGCTAGGAGATGTTAACTACCTCGCCTGGCACGCAGGAGGTCGTTGGTTTGATTCCAACCCTGACACCTGCTCTATATTTGGAGTTTGCGTGTCTCTCTCCCCGTGTGGATTTTTCTCCGGGTCCTCCGGTTTTTCCCTCCGCTATTTGGAATTGACATCGCGCATTTAGAGGATGTTGGCTGCCATGAATTTCCACACGATGATAAGTTACTGTCATTTGTGATCGTCAGGTCGCTTCTGAAAAAGATCCACAAAGCTCAGCGTGGGCCTTACCGGGTGAAATAAAATAAATAGTTTGGTTTTCAGTTTTAGAGAAAAATAAAAAAAAATCGGTTGATCGCTTTGCGTGAAGCAGAGTCGAGCGGAGAAACCCCCACACGCACGAGGGGGTAGCGATCCTAGCACGCTAGGATCGCTACCCCGCTACCCTGATCCTAGCGCTGAGACAAAGCCTCAGGAGCTGACCGACACCGACCGACGCCGTGGCCATCGCCCGCCTCTCTTTTGCCAGATGCCTCGAAAGGTCACGGAGAGTGAAGCTGTCTCCTCCTTCAGGTGGCCGGAGGATGGCACAGAGGTCAGTGGGATGAGCTGGCACCACTGAGATCCTGGGTTCGAATCCAGGCAACCCCCTGTAGTGAGATTCTCAAGTCTATCTAATGAGTCAATGGTCTCAGCCTGGTCACACGAACGACTGCACGGACAAACCCATCACGTTACGTTGAGAATAGTTTGTCATCGACGTGCGAGGAGCCTCGCTCTCGGGGGCCGGGCAGGCGGGAGAGAGAGAGAGTGCTGACCCCCCCCTACCCCCTGGCTGGTGTGTGGTTCAGAGGTCACTTGAAGAAGGGGCATCTCAGAGGAAGCTCTGTGATGTCCACTCCCGCAGCAGGCCCGCTCGCTCACGCAAACAGCTGCACTGCTCGGAGAGACTTACAAATGGATACCGATGCTGATAGCACCGTTACAACCACAACAACAAAAAGCTTTAAAAGAAAAAAACAGGGACCTCTATCCTTTTGTCGCGCTTTAGATCACACGGCCACGCGAACCGCCCCTGTGAGAAACACGCACAGCCTTGTACCAAATCTCATCGAAAGCCTCTGTCCTCATCACATCTCGGAAGCTGAGCGCAGCTGAGCCTGGACAGCGCTTGAACAGCGACCGCCACGCACAGAAAGACAGGCGGACCAGGCTGACGCTTGAACAGCGACCGCCACGCACAGAAAGACAGGCGGACCAGGCTAGCGCTTGAACACGGTGACCGCCACGCACAGAAAGACAGGCGGACCAGGCTAGCGCTTGAACACGGTGGCTGCCAATCACAGAAAGACAGGCGGACCAGGCTAGCGCTTGGACACGGTGACTGCCACGCACAGAAAGACAGGCGGACCAGGCTAGCGCTTGTACACGGTGACCGCCACACACAGAAAGACAGGCGTACCAGGCTAGCGCTTGTACACGATGACCGCCACGCATAGAAAGACAGGCGGACCAGGCTAGCGCTTGGACACGATGACCGCCATGCACAGAAAGACAGGCGGACCAGGCTAGCGCTTGAACACGGTCACCGCCACGCACAGAAAGACAGGCGGACCAGGCTAGCGCTTGGACACGGTGACTGCCATGCCCAGGAAGACAGGCGGACCAGGCTAGCGCTTGGACACGGTGACTGCCACGCACAGAAAGACAGGCGGACCAGGCTAGCGATTGAACATGTTAACCGCCACGCACAGAAAGACAGGCGGCCCGCGCAGTGAAGTATGGTCAAACACCGCTCACGGCCCATGTACGGCTTGGATAGGCCCTCATCCAGCAGCGGATAACCAGGGCCCATGTGTGTGCAGGAGAGAGGGGGGCAGACACCCAGGCACAGCGTCTCGGGGCTGCAATGTACAGGGCGGTCCAGATGTCTTGTGGCACCCATTTAATTATCTAAAACTACAATATTTGTGTACCCAATGGGGTGTGTAATGTAATGTAAGTGATATAACTTGATGAAATATCATCATTATTGTTCAATCTTTCACAAAACTCCTTTCGAACATCTTCAACAGTAGACGGAACTGGTATTGGCCATCTGAAATAAATAAGTTTTATAAAAAAACAGAAATGAATAAGCAAAGGAGAAAAAAAATGTTTGGGGTCCATTAATTGGGGCTTCATATGACATCTGGACCACCAACCTCGACGCGAAGGGCTCGCGGGGGGAAGGGGGTGCAGGGGGGGGGGGGGGGCTCCATCGGTGACTCTGCCAGCACGAATATAAACGAAACTCCGCAGCAGCGAGGACGTCATCGCAAGCCACAAGCGCGCGCGGTGACGAGAGCCAGGCGAGTAACTGCAATTATTCCGCCCGCCCGCACGCTATCTGACTTTGCCATCAGAGACACGCTCTGAACATCATCGGGGCAGGCAGGTGTGCGTAGAATTGCGTGACTCTGTCTGAAACCACCCTCGGGGCATCTGGATGCGTGTCTGTATGTTGAACTTATTTCGCACCGCACGTAGACACCAGTGCTAATCGGAGGTGCGGGGGAAGTCTGGCAATCTCTCCTCCTCCTCTGCTGTCTCTTGGCTATGGGAGGAGGAAACTGAGAAACCCGGAGGATGCCCAATGCAGAACATGGGGAGAACGTACAGGGAGGTCACAATCAGAGTATTCATATTCTTGGTTCTTACACTTTCAGAGTATTCATATCGGAGGAATCTGATGAGCTGTGGAGTGCGTTTTCACAGATGCCCAGCTGGGGCACAGGGTCAGAACGTTCCAACAACAAACATGTTCGGAGTGCAAAGTATAGGAAAGGTAAGTGAATCACTTAAAATTATACAAATAAAACTGAACAATTTTTTTTATTTTACCAGGTAAGCCAGAGTTGGGAACAGAACCCGGGTGCTTCTTGTGGCACAGTCGTTACTCACCGCGCCGCCCCCCCCCCTGCCGCACCCCCCCCTGCCGACCCAGAGTGAACTCAAACCGGGAAAAACACTTTCATAAATAATCGGGCGTGAGTCTGCCCGTAAGTGGGGGGCGACGTTGCGATGTGTAATCTTAAAACACGATTTAAAGCTTTCGTGATTGCAGGGATTCACCTTCTTGGTTTTTTCCGTAAAGTCACGTAGAAGGGAAATAATAAAATAATAAAAATAAAACATAATAAAATACAATTCTCACGACGTTTCGGCCACAACGCAAGCAGCCGTCCTCAGGTGAAGAACAGGGCTGTCGGAAAGACAGTGTCTGAATGATGTTTAATCTAAATCGAGTGACTTGCGGCATCATTTCCCTCCTCTTTTCGAATGGCGTCATGGCATCTTCAACGTCCACTGGCAAGCGGACGGCGCATGGTAGTCAATCATGACCCTATTAGCTCTTGCAATCTCTCATTTACTTGATACAGCTGTCGTGGCTGTGACGGTTCCACCTGAAGACGGAAGCTTGTGTTGCCTCCGAAACGTCGTGATTTTTATTTTATTTTCCTTTTATTAATTTTAATGTTTTACCTACGTGACTTTACCGAAAAAAAACCTAAGAATATGAATCCTTGCAGTCACGAAAGCTTAAAATCTAGAATCATGACCCTGACGAAGCCTGCTGCTGCTGCTGTATATTTGGAGTTTGCGTGTCTCTCTCGCTCTCTCCCCATGGTCGCGCTTAGATTAATTGGCTGCTGCTGTACTTCTCCACGTGACAAGCCACTTCGTTGTGCTATCATTTGTGGCCAGGTTGCTTCTGGAAAAAGAGCTCATAGCTCAGTGGGCCTGGTAAAATAACCGGCGGCTTTTCGCGGTTCATACACACCGCAGTGTGGAAAACTAATTTCTTTAAAACGGCTTTGTGTGTTTAGTTTGTTGTCCATCACCCAACACCATCGATTAGCGCCCGACTCGAACCTCTGCTACAAGCGGCGAGTGCTGCTCTACTTTGTCACCCTCAAGCATCGCCCACAACGGGGAGCTGGGGTAGTGAGCCTGGCGGCGCCGACGAGTGGCGGCTCCAAGGAGCGTGGCAGCACATCCGCTGTCATTTCCACATTGGGGAGTTTTTGGCACGGAAATAGGTGGGGTGGGGGAGGCCCTCATCCAGCAGTGGATTGGCGAGGACTGTGCACGTGATGACGAACCGTCGCGTCGACCCGCCCCGAACGCAAAACATGCGCTGGCTGTGCCGTGAGAGCGAGGATCGATTTCGATCGGGCGAGCGGATGGATGTTAGCGAGCTCATTAAGCCGTGTCCTCATCGGTGCTTAACGACGAGCTCGTTAATCCCGGGGAGGGGTGTGGGGGGGAGACGCTGGGGGGGGGGGGGGGACGCGTGGGAGCGGCGCTTCTCTCTTTGACCCCGGGTCGGTCACGGCAATTTCGCTGTTATCCATCTTCACCACCCGCCCTTCTTCTTCACCCCTTGCTCACTCTCCCAACCACCTCCACCAAAGAAAAATGTCCCCCGTGTAGCCTTAAGAGACTGCTGGGGCAACTGCTGTTAGCGAGCAGCACCTATGAAGGTCGGCACGGCACACGAGGGGGTGGGGAGTGGCCAGCACCACGCCCGGCCGCCTTTGTCTCCTTAAGTGGCGATGTTTACACCGCACCAGGTACTCATTTGAGGCTGCGTTGACCTAGGGGAGGCCCATGACCAGTTCAGATAATCGTCACTGCTGTTAGCCACACCACCACCAGGACCACAACCATCACCACCGTCGCCCACTGCAAACAACAATCGATTATGGTCACTTACCTCGGCAGTCATAAACCCACGGCAATCACCGGTGGTGGCACAACTGACCTGACCGGCCGGTAACACACACAGACAGCCGTTCACACACAGACAGCCGTTCACACACACAGACAGCCGTGCACACACAGACATCCGTTCACACACGCAGACAGCCGTTCACACACTCGCACTGCTGCTCACACACGGACAGCCGTTCACAATTAAGTGGATCTGACACGAGCGGCTTGTGATGCAGGCTGCGCTCCGAGCAAAGCTCAGGGCGCGGCGAGTGCAGTGGTGCAGAATCTCTGCATTGTGTCCGTGTGCCTGTGTTAATGTGGTTCGTCTGTGTTTCTGCTGGTCTGTGTGTGTGTCTGTGTGTGTGTCTGTGTGTGTGTGTGTGTCTGTGTGTGTGTGTGCCCAGCCACCGCATGCCTAAACAGCTTTTGTTCGGCCGGATCGAGGGGGCTAAACGGGCGCGGCACGGGCTAGAGAAGAGATAGAGTGATGTGGTACAGGAGGACGTGGAGCTGAGTGGACTTGCCGATGACTGGTACCAGCGGTGTCAAGATCGGCCTCAGTGGAGGAGGCTCGTGAAGGACGCTACTGGGCAGTTGGAGGCAGTCGCCCTCCAACAACAACGGAGGGTGGAGGAGCGACGCTCACAACAACGAGCGGAGCGCCGGGTGGCTAAAGCACAGCAAGTTGGCACAGTAGGGGGCACAGGTGGTGCATCAGCCAGTCGTCTCGGTCATCTCGGTCAGTCGACCCGTGGCACCTGGGTCTGCCCCGTGACCTCCTGCCAGCGGGCGTTCGACACTTCACGTGGCCTCAAGGTGCACTTGGCCTGGCACAAGCGTCGTGGTGACGTCACCGCCACTTAGTGGCGAATGGCGGTTGTTGTTGTTGTCTGTGTCTGTGTGTGTGTGTGTCTGTGTGTGTGTGTGTCTGAGAGCTCACAGGCTGGCCGAGTTCGCGGTGCTGTGTGGGAGGTGAAGGCCGCGGCGAGTCCACCGGCCTCGGGCCTCCCGGCCCCTTCTTGTCGAGCCGCGCGGCCTCCAGCGCCGACGGCCTCTGTGGGAGAGCGGGGGGGGGGGGGGACACCGCGGGGTCCTGGGAGCCGGCTGCAACACGGGAACCACAACAGCACCATGAAGCTGGTGACACAACCACAACCACGACTCTGGTGACACAACCATAACCGCACCACGACTCTGGTGACACAACCACAACTCTGGTGACACAACCACAACCACGACTCTGGTGACACAACCACAACCACGACTCTGGTGACACAACCATAACCGCACCACAACTCTGGTGACATAACCACAACTCTGGTGACACAACCACAACCACGACTCTGGTGACACAACCATAACCGCACCACAACTCTGGTGACACAACCACAACTCTGGTGACACAACCACAACCACGACTCTGGTGACACAACCATAACCGCACCACAACTCTGGTGACACAACCACAACTCTGGTGACACAACCACAACCACGACTCTGGTGACACAACCATAACCGCACCACAACTCTGGTGACACAACCACAACTCTGGTGACACAACTACGACTCTGGTGACACAACCACAACCACGACTCTGGTGACACAACCATAACCGCACCACAACTCTGGTGACACAACCACAACTCTGGTGACACAACCACAACCACGACTCTGGTGACACAACCACAACCACGACTCTGGTGACACAACCATAACCGCACCACAACTCTGGTGACACAACTACGACTCTGGTGATATGACCACAACGACGCCACGACTCGTCAACTCTGGCAATACAAAGTTAGTTTTATCCATCTTCTTGGTTCTTTCGGTAAAGTCACGTAGAAGGGAAGTAATAAAATAATAAAAATAAAACATAATAAAACAATTCTCACGACGTTTCGGCCACAACGCAAGCAGCCGTCCTCAGGTGAAAACCAGGTCCGTCGAGGCGACCGAGTCTGAATGGAACAGCACACGAGCTTGGAGCATATATATAAGCGCCCAGCTTATATATATGCTCCAAGCTCGTGTGCTGTTCCATTCAGACTCTGTCGCCTCGACGGACCTGGTTTTCACCTGAGGACGGCTGCTTGCGTTGTGGCCGAAACGTCGTGAGAATTGTTTTATTATGTTTTATTTTTATTATTTTATTACTTCCCTTCTACGTGACTTTACCGAAAGAACCAAGAAGATGAATCCCTGCAGTCACGAAAGCTTTAAATCGAAATTTAGTTTTATCCAGCCAACATATGTATATACTGTACATATATATATATAACCTGTATACTCGTGCACACTTCATCCTGTATTCATTTTGATGTTTTTGCAACTTTGTTTACTTTTAATGTGTTTTGGGAAATGTGTTTTGTTTAAAATTCCTTTATAATTTGCACTGTTTTATAATTCCTATTTGGTAGATTTTTGCTCCGATAGTTCATCACTTCATTGTTCCTACTTCTCTAAACTTTTGTTATTTTGGCGAACCCAGCCCACGTCACTCTTGCAAGTTAGACCTACCCTGGCCTCTCCAACCCTAAGCTGGTTAAACTAAACAAACTAACCTGGTTAAACTAAACAAACTAACCTGGCTAAACTAAACAAACTAACCTGGTTAAACTAAATAAACTAAGCTGGTTAAACTAAATAAACTAACCTGGTTAAACTAAACAAACTAACCTGGTTAAACTAAACAAACTAACCTGGTTAAACTAAACAAACTAACCTGGTTAAACTAAACAAACTAACCTGGTTAAACTAAATAAACTAAGCTGGTTAAACTAAACAAACTAACCTGGTTAAACTAAACAAACTAACCTGGTTAAACTAAATAGACTAACCTGGTTAAACTAAACAAACTAAAATGGTTAAACTAAATAAACTAACCTGGTTAAACTAAACAAACTAACCTGGTTAAACTAAATAGACTAACCTGGTTAAACTAAACAAACTAAAATGGTTAAACTAAATAGACTAACCTGGTTAAACTAAACAAACTAAAATGGTTAAACTAAATAGACTAACTTGGTTAAACTAAATAAACTAAGCTGGTTAAACTAAATAAATTAAGCTGGTTAAACTAAATAAACTAAGCTGGTTAAACTAAATAAACTAACCTGGTTAAACTAAATAAACTAACCTGGTTAAACTAAACAAACTAACCTGGTTAAACTAAACAAACTAACCTGGTTAAACTAAATAAACTAACTTGGCTAAACTAAACAAACTAACCTGGTTAAACTAAACAAACTAACCTGGTTAAACTAAATAAACTAAAATGGTTAAACTAAACAAACTAAAATGGTTAAACTAAATAGACTAACCTGGTTAAACTAAACAAACTAACCTGGTTAAACTAAACAGAATAACCTGGTTAAACTAAATGAACTAACCTGGTTAAACTAAATAAACTAAGCTGGTTAAACTAAATAAACTAACCTGGCTAAACTAAACAAACTAACCTGGTTAAACTAAACAAACTAACCTGGTTAAACTAAACAAACTAACCTGGTTAAACTAAACAAACTAACCTGGTTAAACTAAACAGAATAACCTGGTTAAACTAAATGAACTAACCTGGTTAAACTAAATAGACTAACCTGGTTAAACTAAACAAACTAACCTGGTTAAACTAAACAAACTAAAATGGTTAAACTAAATGAACTAACCTGGTTAAACTAAATAGACTAACCTGGTTAAACTAAACAAACTAACCTGGTTAAACTAAACAAACTAAAATGGTTAAACTAAACAAACTAAGCTGGTTAAACTAAACAAACTAAAATGGTTCAACTAAACAAACTAACCTGGTTAAACTAAATAAACTAACCTGGTTAAACTAAACAAACTAACCTGGTTAAACTAAATTGACTAACCTGGTTAAACTAAACAAACTAAAATGGTTAAAATAAATAAACTAACCTCAAACTCATCCATTGATTTTCCAAAAACACTCTCAAGTCTAAACTAATAAACAAAACCTTTTTGTATTTCACCTGGCTATCACAAATGATAGCTCAACCAAGTGGCTTATCACGTGGAAATTTACAGCAGCCAAATAATCTAAACGCATGCTTCTAAATTTGGAGGGAAACACCGCAGGAACCGGACAAAAATCCACGCAAGACCACGGGGGGAGAGACATGCAAACTCCCAACCATCTCCTGTACATCAAGCGAGGTAGACGACATCTTGCCATCACATACATATCAATGGGACGGTGCGGTGGAAACCCAGCGATTTAAACCGATCCAAGCATCTTTTTCCCCTGGCGGGATTATACTGTATTACCGTGTGTTACAAAGACAAAGTGACTCCTTGTTTTCACTCCTCATGAGCGCAGGCTCACGGTGACCACATTAAATTATTCAAGAGCCCCGCTGGTGGTGAAAATCAAACTCGACATCGAGGCAAACTCTCAGCGGCAGGCAGGCCGAGTGGGGGAAGTGCTGCCCCCCAACGCGGCGTGGAATGGAGGCCCACTCGACGAGGGGATCTCGGAGGTAGCTCTGCATTATTCGCTTCCGCGGGCCGCTCTCCCACACAGCAGGGGTCACGCTGCTGCCGTTGCTTTGCGAGAGATCCGAAATTATTCTTCGTCTGGTGAAGACGCGACGCCCATTGCTCAACCGGGTTAAGAATGGCAACAAAATACGTTTTTTCACGAGACGCCAATTGATTCCAAGCGATTAACCGTTTCGTCGTTAACAGCGGCCTTGGCGTCTCAACCAAAGCCGGTTGTTTAACTTTTCATGAGCCGCATGTGAAATTGCGAAGGCTTGCGTGCATTATTCATGCTGCGCGTTATTAGAGGGATTAATGTGGGCGATCGCGTTAAAAGCACTGAAGTCTCCGGTGATTAAATCCGTTAATTCATCTTTCATCCGTCGCAGACAAACCCGCAGAGAGGAACCCCGCACGGCGCGTCAACACAAAACAACGCGGCCCTTTCATCTCACGCCGTCAACGAGGCGGCCCGCTGACGAGGCGGCCCGCTGACGAACCAGCCCACGAAAAAGCCAGCCCGCTAATGAGCCGGTCAACTAAGCAACCAACTCGCTAATTAATTAGCCGGCCCACTCACGAGCCGGCCGGCTAAGGAGCCAGCCGACTACCTAACTTGCCAACTCACCAGCCGGCCAACTAACGAGCCGGTCGGCTAATGAGCCGGCCGTCTAACGAGCCAGGCGACTACCGAGCTTGTCAACTCACTAGCCGGCTGGCTCAGGAGCCGTCTGACTAACGAACCGGCAGACTAACAAGCTGGGAGGACTCGGTGGCAGAGGTGGCGGTAGGGATGGGAGGAAACTTCGTACCGCAGGAGGGGAGGAGGGGGAGTTGGAAGCGCCCGCGTCCGGCACGGAATTGGACAAGGCGGCAGCCGGCGGTGGTCCCCGCTGAGCCGCCGCCGCGGATCTCGCCGCCACCCTTTGTTGAGCGCCGAGGCGGCGCTTTTGTCTCCGCTTCTATCCCGCGAGACGTCTTTCTCTCTCCGTTCGCGCTCACGTCACCCACCACCACGCTCCAGCCTTCCGTCGGCTCGTTGCATTGTGGATGTTTGTTTTGCGAATGCCTTCGCGTGTATGAGTATTTATATTTTGCGGGTTTTTATCTTCTTAATTATCGCCGCCTACGCACGGCTGGTCTTTCCTTTGCAAATAATCATCGGCCAGAGTCAGTGTTCGATGCAGGAAACTCGAGTTGGAGCTTAAATGTCTGTGGAGTGCCTTTGTAGAGCGGCATGGGTGGACAGCAGTCTAGACGTAGTAACAATAATAATGACGACGATTTTGGAGTTTCTTTTTTTGTGACGTTCTTACAAAGCATTCGCTTGTGTTTAGTTCGCTGTCTTTCCCCCGCACCTCAGATTAGCACGGTTGGCTATGCACGGTGCGAAAGAAGTTCAACACACATACACACAAAGAGCAAGGCGTGACGTTTCACAGACAACAGCCTGCAGTAGGATCACCGTACGAGACACTGTAGCTGCTGCTGATGTAGCTGCTGCTGCTGCTGTGATCCCCATTGAGCCACTCGCAGTGTCATTTTAAAATCTCTCAAAAGCCGTTATTTTCCAACGTCTGCCATGGGGAGTCTTCTTTGACGCGTCGTTTGACGGTTCGATGCGGCCGCAGCATTGACCAGGGCGGCCTGCCGGATTCGGAAGCCATGAACCGCCGCAACGGGTGGCAATCGGGCTCCCGCTGGGCCGAGCCGCGGGCCGGATACCAGTCCCACGACGCGCCGCCAACGACGACGGGATTGTGGGGGAAACGCCGACAGACCATCAGAACATGGAAGAGATGTGGCCACAAAGACAGAGAAGTGAAACAGGTGTCTAGACACTCGTGCAGATGTGAAGGAATGCATTAATAAAGATGCAAAGTTCCGTCTGAATGCACAAATATTTATACGAAAAAAGGTTTAGACCTCATGATAACCAAGCAGACAGACGGATACATCGTCACAACTCGGTATATACATAGTATCTACACACACCTGTCTCGACACACAGATGTCTAGACACACATACTCCAGTCTAGACACACAGACTCAAGTCTAGACACACAGACTCCAGTCTAGACACACAGACTTCAGTCTAGACATACAGACTCCTGTCTAGACACACAAGCTCCAGTCTAGACACACAGACTCCTGTCTAGACACACAGACTCCAGTCTAGACACACAGACTCCAGTCTAGACACACAGACTTCAGTCTAGACATACAGACTCCTGTCTAGACACACAAGCTCCAGTCTAGACACACAGACTCCTGTCTAGACACACAGACTCCAGTCTAGACACACAGACTCCAGTCTAGACACACAGACTCCTGTCTAGACACACAGACTCCAGTCTAGACACACAGACTCCAGTCTAGACACACAGACTCCTGTCTAGACACACAGACTCCTGTCTAGACACACAGACACTGTCTAGACACACAGACTCCAGTCTAGACACACAGACTCCTGTCTAGACACACCGACTCCAGTCTAGACACACAGATTCCAGTCTAGACACACAGACGCCTGTCTAGACACACAGACTCCTGTCTAGACACACAGACTCCAGTATTTTGTCCCCGACTTTGGGAGCGTCGCTTGGCACGCGACCGTCACCACGCCGCTACCAGCGGACGTCTGTGAGAAGAAAATAACAACTTCACAGCTCATCGGATTCCTCCAGCATCGATAAAGATCCTGATCCGTAGGACACGCAGCGGGCTCCCGGTGCGCGTGTGAGTGCCGTCACGTCGGCAGGCTGGAGACGATGCCAACAAAGTCACAGAGGGGCCTCTCCCTTCCACACTTGCCACGGAAACCAGCGATGTCGTGACGAGCGACTCCGGCCGGCCGGGGAAAATAGAATATTAGTACGGGAATTTATTTACTTATTTACTACATTTTCTAGTTGAGGTGAAACGTGTCGCTGCTGCTATTCAATCAACCGTCCCTCCTTTTGGATTTTTTTTTTTCCGTGACAGCACTTCACCGCTGGATAAAGGCATCCCCCCCCATGCTAAGCTCATCACGGGGGGGAGGGGGGGGTCTGTTTGACCATGCGGCCTCTTCTTCTGTAACGCTGCGTGTTTTCACGACGCGAATTGTGTATAACGCGATGAATGTGCGAGGGTGGTGATGTTAATGTGAAATCTGAGACTCTAGAGAAGGGTAGACGCATGAGACGTGGAGAAATTAACAACTTGTGGTACGCCCAATGCAGCGGCGACATCGCAGGAATTGCTTGTCCCGTCTTTCGTCAAATAAAACTAACATCGGACGGTGACAAGATGGTGGTGGTTTTGATTGTGGCGGTGGCTGTGGTTGTGGCGGTGGTTGTAGTAGCGGTGTTGGTTGTGGTAGCGGTTGTTGTGGTGGTGGTGTACCTGCAGCAAGTTGTGGGTTTCATCCTCCAGCTGCCGCACCCTCGCCTCCAGATGCTGGATGTACATTGCTGGGTCATCTACGGCGGGACACAGACGCACAGACGTGAGTCATCATCATAACAACAACAACAACGACTTCCACTTCCGCGTTCAACGCAATCGACAAAATGACGGACAATTATTTTGATGAAGGAAACCGCGTTTGATGATCTCCCGGCACGAGTGGGGAAAGCGAGCGCCAGTAGAATGTCAGCGGCGCGCAAAGAAGCGGAACCCAACGGGGAGGAGGCACCACGGCCAGCAATCGGTAGAACGCACGGCACAGCCCTAGCCACAACCAAGCCACAACCAAACCACAACCAAGCTACAACCAAGCTACAACCAAGCTACAACCAAACCACAACCAAGCTACAACCAAGCTACAACCAGGCTACAACCAAACCACAACCAAGCTACAACCAAGCCACAACCAAGCTACAACCAAGCCACAACCAAGCCACAACTAAGCCACAACCAAGCCACAACCAAGCCACAACCAAGCCACAACCAAGCCACAACCAAGCCACAACCAAGCTACAACCAAGCCACAACCAAGCCACAACCAAGTCACAACCAAGCCACAACCAAACCACAACCAAGCTACAACCAAGCCACAACCAAACCACAACCAAGCCACAACCAAACCACAACAAAGCTACAACCAAGCCACAACCAAGCCACAACCAACCTACAACCAAGCCACAACCAAGCTACAACCAAGCCACAACCAAGCCACAACCAAGCCACAACCAAACCACAACCAAGCTACAACCAAGCCACAACCAAGCCACAACCAACCTACAACCAAGCCACAACCAAGCTACAACCAAACCACAACCAAGCTACAACCAAGCTACAACCAAGCCACAACCAAACCACAACCAAGCCACAACCAAGCCACAACCAAACCACAACCAAGCTACAACCAAGCCACAACCAAACCACAACCAAGCCACAACCAAGCTACAACCAAGCTACAACCAAGCCACAACCAAGCCACAACCAAGCCACAACAAAGCCACAACCAAGCTACAACCAAACCACAACCAAACCACAACCAAGCTACAACCAAGCCACAACCAAGCTACAACCAAGCTACAACCAAGCCACAACCAAGCTACAACCAAACCACAACCAACCTACAACCAAACCACAACCAAGCCACAACCAAGCTACAACCAAGCCACAACCAAGCCACAACCAAGCCACAACCAAGCCACAACAAAGTCACAACCAAGCTACAACCAAACCACAACCAAGCTACAACCAAACCACAACCAAGCTACAACCAAGCTACAACCAAGCCACAACCAAGCTACAACCAAGCCACAACCAAGCCACAACCAAGCTACAACCAAGCCACAACCAAGCCACAACAAAGCCACAACCGAGCTACAACCAAACCACAACCAAGCCACAACCAAGCCACAACCAAGCCACAACCAAACCACAACCAAGCCACAACCAAGCCACAACCAAGCCAAAACCAAGCCACAACCAAGCCACAACCAAGCCACAACCAACCTACAACCAAGCCACAACCAAGCTACAACCAAGCCACAACCAAACCACAACCAAGCCACAACCAAGCCACAACCAAACCACAACCAAGCCACAACCAAGCCACAACCAAGCCAAAACCAAGCCACAACCAAGCCACAACCAAGCCAAAACCAAGCCACAACCAACCTACAACCAAGCTACAACCAAGCCACAACCAAGCCACAACCAAGCCACAACCAAGCTACAACCAAGCCACAACCAAGCTACAACCAAGCCACAACCAAGCCACAACCAAGCCACAACCAAACCACAACCAAGCCACAACCAAGCCACAACCAAGCCACAACCAAGCCACAAACAAGCCACAACGCAGCCACAACCAAGCCACAACCAAACCACAACCAAACCACAACCAAGCCACAACCAAGCCACAACCAAGCCACAACCAAGCTACAACCAAGCCACAATGCAGCCACAACCAAGCCACAACCAAGCCACAATCAAGCCACAACCAAACCACAACCAAGCCACAACCAAGCCACAACCAAGCCACAACCAAGCCACAACCAAACCATAACCAAGCCACAACCAAGCCACAACCAAGCTACAACCAAGCCACAAACAAGCTACAACCAAGCTACAACCAAGCCACAACCAAGCCCCAACCAAGCCACAACCAAGCCACAACCAAGCTACAACCAAACCACAACCAAGCCACAACCAAACCACAACCAAGCCACAACCAAGCCACAACCAAACCTTGCCGAAAACTCGGTGAAGAGCCACTTCATTAAACGCGCGGCCACGCCGGCTCTGAGATGATCGCCTCAGGGCCTCTCACACGCTAACGAGGTGCGAGTGTGATTAGAGCGCAGTGGTGGAGAGGAGGAGGAGGGAGGAGGAGGGAGATGGAGGGAGACTCCACATACAGACAGCATTGGTGGGGTCTGTGTCAGGGTTAGTGTCAGGTTTAGTGTTGAGTCTGTGTCAGGGTTAGTGTTGGGTCTATGTCAGGGTTAGTGTTGAGTCTGTGTCAGGGTTGTTGTCAGGGTTGGTGTCAGGCCTAGTGTTGGGTCTATGTTAGGGTTAATATTGAGTCTATGTCAGGGTTAGTGTCAGGGTTGTTGTCAGGGTGAGTGTCAGGGTTAGTGTCAGGGTTAGTGTTAGGGTCTGTGTCAGGGTTAGTGTTGAGTCTATGTCAGGGTTAGTGACAGGGTTAGTGACAGGGTTAGTGAGAGGGTGAGTGTCAGGGTGAGTGTTGGGTCTATGTCAGGGTTAGTGTTGAGTCTATGTGAAGGTTAGTGTTGAGTCTATGTCAGGGTTAGTGACAGGGTTAGTGACAGGGTTAGTGAGAGGGTGAGTGTCAGGGTGAGTGTTGGGTCTATGTCAGGGTTAGTGTTGAGTCTATGTGAGGGTCTATGTGAGGGTTAGTGTTGAGTCTATGTCAGGGTTAGTGACAGGGTTAGTGACAGGGTTAGTGACAGGGTGAGTGTTGGGTCTATGGCAGGGTTAGTGTTGAGTCTATGTGAGGGTCTATGTGAGGGTTAGTGTTGGAGTCTGTGTCCGGATTGTTGTCTCCCTGCCACGACACGCCACGTGCTGCCAGAGAGCACTTAATAAGTTGCACTCAAGACCACGCGCCGCCCGGGTCAGCGGAGTTAAAGACGAGGCTGAGGGCGCTACTTGCACACAGGCTATTGTGCAGCTAGACTGCCTGTGAGCCATTGCATTACAGCACAGGGCTTAGCCATGTAGCGGAATGCCTTTCCCTCGTCTGGCTCACCGACTTTGTCCAAACGCGGCAATTTACAAAACAACTCGCCTTGTCGCTCACGCTAAAATACGTCAGCAAAATGAGCGTAGCCCGCCTTTTTGTTGTAGAGTATGCATGCAGAAGGGGTTGCTTCGGGACTTGGCAGGCAGCTGACGAGCCTCTAAGTTGTCTGACAGAGACTGCGCGTGGTAATGGAGAGCGTGTGACTAATTGAACTGCGAGTCGAATCACGACTCTGTTTAATCAGGAGCCCCGTGTCTAATTGCCACCCTGTGTCTAATCGACAGAGTGTGTCGTATCGAGACCCTATGACTAATCGAGAACCCGCGTCTCACCAAGGCTCCGCTTCTAACCGAGGTCTCGTGTCTCACCGAGGCTACGTGTCTCACCGAGGCCCCGTCTGGTGCCAGTCACGAGTTTACATGCACGCGTGAATTACGTTTGCAGCGGCAGAATGGCTGTAATATTACGACCGCATTCCGCCGGTTTACTCGGGAAAGCCTCGATGAGCCTCAAGGTGCGCTGTTCACGAGGGTCCTGCCAACATTTTCGCAGTAGGGGCGGGGGGACAATGTTACCGTGTTGTGTAGTCGCGATGTAAGACTGGAACAGGATTTCTCCACAACTCTGGCTGTCGCCTGATGGGGCTGGTTGTAATGACTGGTGGAACGGCCCAGTACTTGAATTGTAAATATTGTGGGTTACTCTTCAACACACCGGTGTGCTGAACTAGTAACTCATTGTCTTTCTTACGTGACAAACCTTACTAATTGGCTGTATCGGGTGGTGGCGATCTAACCCAACAACCTCGATTATGGATAATATTGGTCGCGAAAGCCGAATATTACTACGTGTTAAACTAATCGCAATTCATAATTATTTCAGCACTGGGATGGTTGGCCCAGATAATTTTACGTTGAACGTTTGATGTTATTGTTGTTTTTGTTTCATCTGTACGTGCAGTGTAGGCAACAAGCGTGTTATGTCATCTCCCGGCGTGTGCCATTCTTCCGCAAGCTGCAGACATAATTGTCGTTTTTTTTTTTGCGTCACGCGCAAAATAGCTCGTTGTGTAACGGCACACGAACCCACACCACGCATCACCGCACGAACCCGCACCACGTGTCACCGCAATTGATGTCGGCGGCAAAACAAACGGCGCCTGGCGGGGCTGAACGATGGCGACCCCTCGCTATTTTACATTTCACTGGAAACGCTTTTTTGCAAACGATGAAAAATATCCCGATTCCTGGCAAGCCAACGTACGCGGCGGCAACCGGGCGTTCACCCGGCCAGCACGTTATGATTGTGGACGACGTTCTAACATCAACTCGTATGCCTCTTCTCCACGCTTTCCATATAAGGTTGCCAGTTGTTATCCGTTCGCTTGGTCGCGTAAGTCCGTCCGTAATGTAGAGTCACGATAACACCCGTGAGGATGACCAAGATGAGTGCAGCCTGTAGTACAAGGTGGACGTGTTTTCGCCATAACGCGGTTCTTACATTTGGGAACACTTCGCACAACGGGCACCGTTATAACGCAGAACGCGTGGCGTTATCACACGGAATGTGTGTCGTTATAACGCAGCTTCTGAGCGGTCAACGATGAACTACTTTCTTGAGCTCCGTGGCTACGTTACAGAGTGATACAGTAAGGCGGCAGCCTACCCTCAGTTATTCGTCCCGCCATCTCACGGTGTGGTGCGAGTAGTCGTGCACAACATCCCGCCACACTTTAGCGTTACATTATTTATGGTAAAA